TGAGAAACTTGTGCGAGCTAAGGACTAACGAGGTCTTACCTTTTAACGTGTGATTCCTAACACGGTTGCAGAATCATTCCAGCTTCAACCAGATAAATTCTCTCGAGAAAAATATCTGGTCGAGGCGGGAATCGAACCCCTTCTACCTTCCGATCGTGAGTCGGGCGCACTACCACCGCGGCCAATTCCACAACAATATATATACATATATTCATCCAAATACACAAATAACAGACAAACAAAACATGTTAAGGTTCGACTCTCTCTTACATAGTCCAGTAATTCATTAAATAATTAAGAACCTGGTGAGTTTGGAGAGTTTTTAGATAATTGGACCCTAGAAAAGTGTATATTCAGCTGATTTTTCATTCTTGTGTCATGTTTATGAATGCTAGATCTGGTTGAAAAACTATTATAGTTACTAAATATATACACACAAACTTCAAAGATAAAGAGTGATGGTAGCGTCATGATTTTACATGTTTTGAATACATCAACACAGCTTTGTCGAGAGGATATACTAAACATTACTCGGAGTATTATCTTTTGTGAAACAAATACATCATTAGCTCTCGAAGACCTTCCCCAGATGGAGATGGAATATCGAAGTCTGGAGTCTACTTGGGCATAGTAGAGCATCAGCAACTGATCATTAGACAGAACTGATCTCAAATTACGTAATTGATAGGAATCAGAATTGAATTTCTTGATTAAGATTTTACAGTGTTCTCCCCAGGAAATATGTTCGTCTATATATAATCCAAGAAACTACACTAACTTCTTTTTGTCTATTGTGAAAGCGTATACATTTTGTTTCATTTGTATTTAGATGAAGTGAGTTGGCTCTAAACCACTGAGCCATATCACAAGTTACTTCCGGAAAGTATTTCTCAAGCAATGTTGAGATGATGGCAGTGATGATGGTGAGGATGGCAGTGTTCTATGTAAGTGCAATTTGTTACCATTCATTTAAAGTAGAACTCATGTGAATGATATCTGATTTTTATTCCACAACGGATGTTTGAAATACAAACTGAGTAGAGAAAAGTATCTTCTGTATAATTCAGTGTTCATACAAGCTTTTGTATTTTCAATGTGATGAATTGTCGAAAATAAAATATCACATTCGTCACATCAAATATCACATTTTGTATTAAACTGACCGTGAAAATATTATTTATACCAAATTCAAATTGATATGATACTGAGCTTTCATAAAAGAACAGTAAACAAATGGTGACCGATTAATTTGTGTACATTCGATATTAACACCTTATCGGTTGCAATTTTGAAATAAAAATACTTCGCAGATGCAGGGTTCAAGGTAATCGTCACAGAATATTTATGAAAAATATTTAAGAAAAGGCGTAGATTCCGATACAAAAAAAGAATATCTGAAGCAACAATATTTACGCCAAAATTATTCTTTTCTTTTGCTTCATTGTCGGAAGATTAGTATCTTATTGACAAAGTCTTGTAAAAAAATTAAATGCATATTATAAAATATAAAAATAAAAAATACAGTACATGACATAAAATATAAAAAATACAAACATCGCAATTTCACAAATAAAACATTGAGAAGACAGATGAGTTTAGGTGAGCATTGAAAAATCAAGTGGAATTTGCAGGTTATCATTGTAGAGTTCATGGATCGAAAAATAAGCTTTTTTGATTTAAAGATCTTCAACTGTACTTCGGAACTTTTTGATATCTGCAGTATTTTTAAGAAAGGTAGGAAGGTGATTATATACTTTAATACTTTCATAAATCAGAGAATGCTGAGTCAAGGTGAATTTTGGAATGGGTAAGTAAATCATATGGTTCTCTCTAGTGTTGTGACAATTTTTCACGAGAGTGTACATGCTGGTTTAATTTTTACGAATTGAGCATACTGTTTCCATCACGTATAATCAGGTGATAGTTAAAATATTTTGTGGCTGATGAATAAAGACTTGCAGTGATCTCTCGGCTTAGAATTTGTAAGGTATCTAAAGACCCCTTCTGTAGCACAAATATCGTTGTAACTGTAAATTACAATGGCCCCACAAAGCTATTCCATAGCGAATATGAGATTCGATCAATGCAATTCTGAAATGTTCTCCTAATAATCCAGAAATTTATTCACAAATCACGTTCTTCTAAAAATAAACTGAGAAAACGAGTTGACCTTGATTCAATGCATTCACTTATGAATTAACTGGCAAACAAACAAATAATTTGCATTATGTTCGAAGATATTCTTTACTAATGATATATCAAATTTACTTTTATTGTATTCTCAAACACCGACTAGGATATTCTTACATTTAACCCAATTGTAATTTTTTTCTTTCCTCCACTAACAGTTTTCTGTAACCATTGAATACAATAAAGAAAACGTCAACAAAACAAATTACCGATACGATTTACAAACTGAATCTAGTTCTTACAAGTTCATTAATGAATTGGCTCTATGAAAAAATGATTTATTGTTTAATTTTTAAAAAATGACCATTCTGTTCTTCATACTTTTCACTTGACAGGTATTGTGGAAAAAGGTAAACTTTTATACAATGGTTGAATAAATCGACAAAAAAACACATTCTTGATGACAAAAATAAAATTATCCCTCCGAAATAGGTCTTTCTCTTACGGGATTCGGATCACACCGAAACATTTTTTCACAATTCGTACAATAAATATAATGAAAACAGATATAATCAATAGAAAATGTATATGCAGCATTTTCAAAAAGAGTTATCTGAATGGAAAATTCAAGGATCATCATTTGAATGAACATTTTTCAAGAAGTTTCGTCGATATCCATATTTCTTATCAATAATTGAAGAAAACTAAAATCAGTCATTTTCTTATCAGTACTCTTTGTACCGAATACTTTCTTTGTAATTTTTCTGTAACCTTGAAGATAAAATGTATATAGTTGATTCATTGTTATCTGTATTTTTATGTGAAAAATGCCATGTTCAAATCTACACTCACAATAAAAAACATTGAAGTACAAAATATTTTCTACATAATATTTGATTGAAAATATTTATAGTGATGACCCCAAAATTTTCAATATTCTTGATTTGGAATAGCTTTATCATCTACCTATATAGAGTCTATTTTTTAAAAAACATGTTCACCAGTACTTATTCATCGTGAAATAAAAAATTATAATTTTTCTTACCATAGCAGCTATCGCAACACAGAAAAAAATTAATATAGTCTTCATATCCAACTCAGATTACAACTTCACAGCTAAACAGATGTAGTAGATCTGAATATCATTATGCTGCTGGCAGTTTCTTTTATACAAAAATCCATTATTCAAATAGGTACCCGTCGTATCATGGAAAACCCAAGTCACACTTCTAAGTAAACAACAACGGTAGTAACAAGTGAATAAATGTCTGAGGAAACAATCTCAAATGTTCACCACCATTGCTGATAACTTGAAAAAGGAGTGAAAAAATTTGATATGTGGAGAAAAAAGTAAGTCACTGTTGTATATTGGTGGTTTATTCAGCATCGAATATTTCCGATTCTTTATATAATTTATATTATTGGTAAATCCACGGGTTTACTAATAATAATATAGATAACTCAATTCTTCTTTTGAATTTCTCCAACTCTGTCAACGATTATGATAATAACCTCATGCTGTATGCCTCAAATAAAGCGTTACTGATTATAGCCAAATCATCTAAAAGAACAATTCGTTCAGGCCAGTCTCAACTCCCTACACTGTAGGTTAATGGACTGACACACATCAGAAAACAACTACTTCCCTGGCTAATACCACTAAAGGGGTTGGATTATAACGGACAGGTGTCAGTGCGGGATTCTTCACTGAAGTTATTCCTGCACATGCTGCTGGTGATACAACTGCCGCAATAGATTTTCAATCATTAGAACACACTTGCAGACCGGTTTCGGACTGTTTAGCCACTACGTCAGTGCAAGGTAGTGTCTATCATCAACATAAAGTCGATGATTTCCGATAATGGAAAAGTGGAAAGTCATCTTCGTGTCGTTCAGGCTTGGAGTCCAGCTCCCTTACCCTTTTGGCTGATTATTGGTCACGAGAAGGACCAATGGGTACCGATAATGGAAAATCGAATTCATTCAGAATATCATTTCTCGAACTAGGTTGAAACGGACACCAAATAACGGGTTTATCATCGCCCCATCTGCATGTGTACGAGGTAACCAACTGCATATCCGAAATTTGCCCAATTCCTCGTATAAGAGAAGAAAACTTATTATATACAGTCAGTGGGAATACTTGAAGACTGGCCTTATATCAAATCATCTGAAATAACATTAAAACATTTCGTTCAAGGCAGTCGCAACTCCCTACACTATACAGGGGAGCGCAAAAGTCCGGATAAAATTAATATCTTTTCAACCAGTATTTAAAAAAAACGCTGAAATACGTTAGTTGATTTCACGTTGTACGCATTTTTTGGAAATAAAATGGATTTTTTTCTCAACCCCTTAGCTGCAACCCTCCCCAACTTTTTTTTTTTCAAATGAAAACCTATGTCGTGTGTGGGCCCATTGAAAAGCTCGTAAAAAATGGATTCTCACCATACCATTTTTTTTGTGGTTACAACGAAATGAGAAAAATATCTTTTGAAAAGTCACAAATACCTAACTTAGTGCTATCTACGGGTGAATTAATGTAGTAGATGCTGAAATTGGCCTCCACCCTCTACTTGGCAGGCTTCTAGGTGATGGTAAAACCCGTCTACGGAATTCTCTCAGCCGGTATGTTATGTGATTCCACTCTAATTCTGCTTTCAAGATCTTCAGTATTAGCCGGCCTATTTTGATAAACATTGTCTTTCATATATCCCCAATAAAAATAATCTAATGGCGTTAAGTCTGGTGGTTTTGGCGATCATTCAATTGTACCACGTCATCCAGTACAGCGTCCTGCAAATATGTCATCGAGATATTCTGTGACATTAATACCAAAATGTGGGGGAGCGCCGTCCTGTTGGAACCAAAGTGTTTCACTGGGGATATCTGGATCTGCTTCATTGGGAAACATAACAGCTAAAGCAGGGACTAATTCAAAGCGTAAAATGTCTAAGTAGCGTGCAGCTGTAAGGTAAATTATTTATTTTTATTACAGTGAAATATATTTTACATTTGTTGTTGCAATTCAATAAAGCATACTTTAAATTTTCGAAACTTCATCGTAAGTAATAATTTTCAAATATTGATAATCCTAGCCAAGCATTAAAATATATTTCTCATACTGATTCATTTTTATTGTACTGACACTTATTTATGGCATAAATGCGAACGAAGCCGCGGGTAAAAGCTAGTTGATTCATACGAAGAAGATGTTATCACTGATAATAGGGACCATTGCTATAGGTCCCGATGCACAATATCCTACAACTCATAAAAAGGTAAGTTCTTCATCATTGAAATCTAAAACAATATCTGTTGAATCCATCTATGTTCACTTTTTCCCTGAATATATTCTCATTTTAAAGGAATAGGACTCCTTCCATCACAATTCCAAAATCCATTAATTTCCAAAGGTGAAATATATTCTTCAAGCACTTCTTTGTTGATATCTGATTGAATTAGTTTTTGAACAAGGTGATCCGGAGTTTCATAAAGCCAAACAAACCATTGTCAAATTACTTCATCCAATCGAGTGATTCCTTTGAAAACGACACGTTGCAGAGTAACAAGGTTCAAATTAATTGTGAAATCCTTCAAATTGATTATGATCACACCGAAAACTCACTTTGAACTTCAAATTGCCTCATTAAGAGAAGTTACATGGTTTCTTACTTTAAACTTACATTCCTCATTAAACGGAATGCCACAACAATGGTCAAATATATAATTTTATTGTTTTATTGAGATAAAAAGTGATGTTTAGTATGACGAAAGTGGGGATGAACGTGCGACCCATAGAAACGTACTATTTTTTTTTTCATGCCTGTAAAATTCATTTAATTTTGATAACTTCGTCAGTGTCATTAAATTATCACTTTTATTGCCACCAGCACTGAAAATAAAACCGTAACCATGGCGTTCGTTACAGGTTCGGACTTTCATTGTCTGAAAAGTATCACCATCCATAAGAAAAAATAATATAAATATCAAAAATACCAGTAGCAAAATTAAAATAGAGAAGAAAAGCCAATAAATGAGTTAGAAGAAAAAAGAGACAAGGAAGAATAGAGGAAGAAAGTAGAAAGTGGAAAGAGAAGAGAACGGAAGGGAGAAAAGAGCAGAAAGAAGCAAGATGAAGGAAAGAAGAAGAAAGTAGAAAGAAAAGAAAAAAAAGAGAGAAGAAAGAAGAAAAGAGAAATGAGAAAGAAGAAAAAATATATGATTAGGAAAAAATAGAGACGAAGAGAAGAAATAATGAATCGATATCAAAGATAGGATAGGAGAATAATAATAATAATAATAATTCTTTATTCTCCAGAAGGACAATACAAGTATTGTATAGGAGTAGTCGTTTATCTAAAATTAACAGAACATGATAACATTCAGTTAAATTGTATATAACAGAACAGTAAATTTGCAGGTATTATAGTCGTTCATCTATAGTATAGATTAATTGTGTAACACATATATGCATATACAGACATATATACATATATATTCATCCAAATACACAAATAATAGACAAATCATAGAGTATTTACAAATACTTATTATAGTGCCTGATCGACTTTATGATAGCATCTTTCAATTAANTACCCACCACGCATTTATTTTATGGCAATATTACCTTTTTGCGTTTATAACCCAGTTAGGATTATCCGCAGACGAATACCATGAATTTTGGGACGAGACTACTCCATTGGTAGTGAACGTAGTTTCATCACTAAACAAAATTGTTTTAAAGAAGTTTATACAATCATTTAAATATTCTCCTTGAGCCCACAAACAGAAGTCTAACCTTCTTTCTTCATCTCCCGGTTCCAGAGTGTATAAAATTTTTTGCTTGAATGGTTTAACTTTATTTTTTAAGGCATCTACTGATATTTTTTCTGGGGATATTTAAATTCAAACTAGCCGTTTGCAAGCCTTATTGAGGATTATTATGAAAATATTGCAAAATTCGAACACCATTTCTATTCTCACGATGTGGATTATTTCTGTTTTTGAGCATACACATACATAACCTGTTTCGTTAAAAACAGAATTTATACGGTTCGACGTAGTGCTACTCACTGGGTGTCTGTTATGAAATTCTCTTCGAAAAAACCGTGAATGCTAGACTCCAACTTTTTTTTAAGGACAAAACACAAGCACCATAGAAAAATCCTTGAGGGGCTGTCAGAGCGGTGTCTGTACGAAAGTGGCGATTCACATTGGATTTGAATCGCTGAAGATCAAATCCATTCAGAAAAACGTTCTCAGAAGGTTCATTCCACATAAACGCAGTTCTTCAGATAAAAGAATTCTAAAAAGGTGAAGTCCGATATGTACTGTGTTGAACCTCAAAACGATGAGCAGCCACAGTTCGTCAAGTATTTCTGATATGTCTCGCTCTTGGTGGAATCAAATGTGCCAAGTCACTTGAACACCTCCCGTGAATGTATCTATTAAAAAGAGACAAATTTCCAACCTCTCATCGATGTTCCAGGCTATCAAGGTTGCAAGTGATGTTCGCGTCTCCAATCAGCGGGTGGCTCTTTTTTGAATAGAATCCAACAACCTCATGGTATGTTTGGGGACGGAGCTCCATACAAGAGAACAATACTCCAAACAAGGTCTGATCTGAGCTTCATAAAGCATCAAAAGTTACTGAGGTCTGTATAGTTTTCTGGTTCGAAACAGTGTTCCAAGTTTTTGAAANCATAACGCCACCAGATCCTTATCACAACCCACCATAGCTGGAGCACCATCGGTTGTCAAGCCTACCATTTTCGATATTGGAATTTTCTCGGAAGAAATAATATTTTTTAAATGAGAAAAAACTCACGTCCAGTACTGTGTTCTTACAGTGGAATGAACTTCAAATGATGTTCTTTAATCGTAAAATCACTAAAAACCATCCTAACGAACACGGCCATCTGGACAGTGTCAACGACATCTGTTGATTCATTCAGTTGAAGTGAAAAATAAACACAGTTATCTAAGTCAGTTCTTAACTGTAAAAAATATCATTGCTCATTACTTCTACTGTATCACTGTATTAGCAGAAAATTGCATAGATTTTATAGCTGAAACTATCTCGTATTCATTTCTAAAGTTGGCAAATAACGAATCAGCAGCTTCTAAAAACGCCTGTTTTATCATTTCCCCGTCTTCA